CACATGGCATCTGTGATAGTTATTTAGTTAGGGTTCTTACCTATGTTCAGTAGAAACCTACCCTGGCTAACCTAAACAGAAAATAAATTTTTTGGAAGGATATTTTGTAGTCCACACATCAACAGGAAGCCTAGAATACCAGCTTTGGAAAACAGACTGGAACCAAAGAAAGCTCAGAAATCACATCCTGCAGTAGGAACAGCTTGGTCAGAACACAGCCTGTGGTACTACCATTGATAAACATAAAGCAGCTGCTCCTCGATTGCTCAGTGTTGTAATGTGAACGAGTTCTAACCTTTGGGTTTAATAATAAAATCCCTGAGGAAATGTGTCCAATTCACCTAAATTATCTCCAGTAATTGTTTCCTGGTTAGGAGGAGGGTAGTCCTAAATAGAATCATATATATACTTATGCATATTTGGCTTCCACATTGGAGCTGGAGACCTGTATGTACCATACAACATGAATGAGATCTTTACTCAATTACAGTTTCTAACTCATTATAATGATTTAAGATATCAATTGTTTACTGATTATTTATTTTATAATAAGCCCCTTGTTGATCTACTTAATTCCTATGAGTTTCTGGCTCATTCTTCCGGATTTTTGAGGCATTCATCATGTCACTTGGGTATCATGGTAATTTTCCTAATCTTTTAACATACATTTACATATTTATTTTCTTTATTATTTTCTAACTGCATGAACTAACACTTCCAGAAGGAAATCACATGATTGTTATACTTCACCGTTTTGTAGGGAATTCAGTAACTTTCTCATGGCCTGTCTCTCCTGAGATACCTGGTTGAGCTGGCAGAGTATCTTTTCTACTGCAGTAAAAATATTTTAGCATCATCTCATGGATAGAGATTATGAGAGAAGCTTTAATGCTATCCTTCATTGTGATTCCATATGACTTAGATCTCTTCTGGTCAAATGTGTATATTTATTATGTCATGTATTATAGAAACATTTATTTAAAATTGCATGCATGAATGACCGAAATGTTAAATTTCATTAGAAGAAATATTGCATCACTAGTCTGAAGCAATGGGAAACATTTAATAAATTAAATTTATTTAATTTAAATAATGAAATTAAAGCAGTTCCATGTAAGGTAGCTTGATTCCAGAGCCTCTGGCCTCAACCACCTTTCAATAAATATACATTTGCAAAGCTTATGTATATATGTTCCATCAATCCAGGTAAAAGAACTGACTAGAATCTACTGCTTTTTCAAGGCAGAAATTTACTGTATTTTACAGGGCAAGCTTGCCCACACAAAAGGTAGAAGCAAAATTTATGGGATTAATCCTCACCTCTTAGTCTTTAACCTACTACACTAAAGCTGAGTTTAAGAGATTCTATGATGTTATATGGCATAGAAGCTCAATCAAGCTCATTGCCTACAAAGGTAAATGTTAACGCTTAATCAATTGGATTTGTTCAGAAATATTCTAATATATGCATTACATATTATTTTTAAATATTAACCTGATTGATCCAGTCATGTAAAAAAGACAGATAGCTCTTTGACATAGAAGCATATTCTGAGGTTAATGGAAAAAAAGAATGTTCACGTCTGCAAGACCATAATGATAAAGGAGGTGACACTTGAACTGAATTATGAAGAGAAAATTCTCACTGAACTTTCCCACTGGAAAAAAAGCATGACATACTTCTACAGATACTGGTATTCAGACAAACCAAACAAAAATGTACTTTAAATAATTAAAACATTTGAATGATGGGGTAACATTTAATTCATTTTATCATTTTGTATCCTGTACAGATTTAAATAATACAACAATTTCATTTACCTAAAAGTAAACTGTTGCCAAAATGTCTTTCCAACCTCATGAGATTTGACCAGTCAACTTATAAGAGCAATTTGGAAATTATGCCTCTGATTAACTAAGCTTCCAGGAAATTTCAAAATATGTTAAGAGTCAGCTGACTTGTCAGTTCCATATGGTTACTTTCAGAATGAGATCATAGGGTTACTTTGTTGCAGTGAAGACATCAGTAAGGGCTTTACAATTGTGTTTGAATTGTACCAATTATTCCTCCCTATTATACTTCTCATTTACATTGATAAAATGTAAGTTTTGAAAATGTTTATTCCATATTCATTTTTCATTTCCTTGTATCTCATATATAATGTAGATATCAATATTGAATATTTAAATACAAGCCAATATACTAAATTGCAAAAATATTTACAATTTCTTTTAAATCAACTCAATGAGTTTACCCTGAGTAGATGGTAAAAATTATAGGTATCTAAAATTACATCACTTTCAGGGCGCCTGGGTGGCTCACTCGGTAGAGCGTCTGTCTTCGCCTCAAGTCGTGATCCCAGGAACCTGGGATCGAGCCCCACATCAGGCTCCCTGCTCAGCGGGGAATCTGCTTTTCCCTCTCCCTCTTCCCCTGCTTGTGCACTCTCGCTCTCTCTCTGTCAAATAAATAAATAAAATTTAAAAAAAATTACATCACTTTGTACTTTAGGGTTCCATGACAAATTAAGTATGATTGATAAGTTTATCATGAGACTTTAAAAAATATATTTCCAAACCCTCTACCCTAAACAAAAGAATTATAGGGTTTGAGACACTAAGAAACACCCTCCCTACGATTCTTTCTCTTCCAATCATTAGCAAATCCTATGACAAGGTTGCAGAAATACAAAGAAAATTTTTGGGAATAATAGTTCTAGAACACAATGGCCCAGGCTGTATTCCACAGGACATTCATGTATAGAACAATAATAATTATTCCTGGAAAGAAGAACTGTAAGGTCAAAAATTTTGAGCAAATGTGCATATTATTAATACTTGGAAATTAAAATTTTGTCCCACCGCTCAAATGGATGTGATATCTCAAATGAGTGACTCAAATCAATTTTCTCATTTCTAAAACGATATAATGACATCTACCTCATATGCTGCTTTAAGATTTCAGTGAGGAAGTAGCTGATCAAAGTAAGTATTCATCAAATGAAATTCTTCTCCTTTTCTCCAGTGTCTCAGCTGAATATCTCAATGCCAATTTTGGTATATTTTAAAGATATTTTGTGATGCACTCAACAGGCAGACTGGAATAGTTAAAGAAAATGTCAATGTCCTATGAAAATGATTTTATACATATAATATTTTAAGTTTTGTGTTTTGTAAAGCAAAATAAAAACCAGTTCAGATAGGGAGTGAGTTTCAGCATAACACACATTATGAAGCCTAGGTAATTGTATACTGATTATCATAACTTAGTGTGAAGAATGTTTGATTTATTATACTTGTCTCCCTAAGATAAAATATTTGAACAAAAATTAATTTTAATATTCAAACTTAGGATTGGGTTTAAGGGGAAACAGCCAATCAGAGAAAAAGCCTCTTGTGATGTAACAAGCTGAGGGAAAAAGGGCCTATTACAGAACTGCCCTTTTTCTGATAAACTGCTGATGAATTTGCAAAAGTGGGCCAGGGGAAGTTCTGTAAAAAGGTCTTAACTCTTGCCATGGACTGTATTGAATATTGAATCTTTCTATTTAAATTGAAATCAAGTCCTATTCTTTTAAGTCCACTTGGGGGCATAAAAGGAATTTATGCCTATGATATAATGTAGAATAACTACCACAGCATCCACAGAAGTCAAATCCATCCTGAAGGAAAGAATTGCTAGTCTATAAAATCTATTATTCAGAAACTGTGAGTGAAAGAGAAATATGGGCAGATAGATGACACCACTGCCTTCTCTTTTCACCTTAAGTTATATGAGATTTCACTTCCCTATGTTTAAATCTTTGCTCTAAAGACATATTTTAATTTATATATGACACTCGATTGATAAGAATGTATTTACATGATGCAAGCTGGTTTAGGAAACTAGTCTAGAAGAGAAACTTTCCCAATATAAAGATCTAATTCATTTTTTCCAGATTTAAGGTATAATTGACAAATAAAAATTGTATATATTTATGATGTTTTGATATACATATACGTTCTGAAATGATAACCACAATCAACCTAATTAACATATTCATCACTTCACATAGTTACTATTTTTAAACTGTGGTGAGAATGTTCAAGATATATTCTCTTAACAAACTTCTAGTATACAAGACGGTATTATTAATGATAGCCAACATATTGTACATTAGATCTTCAGAAATTAATTCTTCATAACTGAAACCTTGTATTCTTTGATCAAACTTTTTCCATTCCCCCTGTCTCCTAGAGCCCCTGGCAACCACCATTTTACTCTCTGCTCCTATTAGTTCAACTTATTCATATTCTACACATAAGTGAGACCAGGAAGTATTTGTCTTTCTAGATCTGACTTACGTCACTTAGCATAATGCCCTGAGTTGATTGATGCTGTGACAAACGTCAGGATTTCCCTTTCTAAGGCTCAATATCCCATTGTATGTATGTATGCACACACACACATACACAAACACAAGCTACACCTTCTTTACCCAATCATCCTTCAGTACAAACAGGTTGTGTTGTTGATTCTATACATTGACTCTTGTGAATAATGCTGCAATGAACATGGGAGTGCAGATACCTTTTCTACAAGATCCTGTTTTCATTTCCTTTGGGTATATACACAGAAGTGAGATTGCCAGATCATATAGCAGTTCTATTTTTAGTTTTTTGAGGAACCTCCATAATATTTTCCATAATGGTTGTACTGAAATACACTCCCATCAACAATGCACAAGAGCTTTCTTCTCTCCACATCCATGCCAATACTCATCATTTGTCTTTTTGATTATAGCCATTCAAACAGGTGTGAGGTAACATCACCTTGTGGCTTTGATTTACATTTCCCTAGTGATTAGTGATATTAAATGTTTTTTTCATATACCTGTTGGCCATTTTTGTGTCTTCTTTTGAGAAACGTCTATACAGGTCCCTTGACCATTTTTTAATCTTGTTTTTGTTTTCTTCCTATCAGGTTGTTTGAGTTCTCTCTCTATATATATTTTGGATACCCCTTATTAGATGTATGGTTTGCAAACATTTTCTCAGATTCCAGAGATTGTCATGTCATAAATTCTAGGATTTTATCCATTTCTTCTAGGATATCCAATTTGATGTCATGTAAGTGTACACAGTTCTCTTATGAACCATTCTGTTTCTGAGATATCAGTTCCAAAGTCTTCTTTTCTGATTTTGTTTGAGCCTTCTCTTTCTTTTTCTTAGCCTAGCTAAGGATTTCTAGGTTTTGTTTTTCTTTTCAAAAAACCAACTTCTACTTTTTGTTCCCTGTTTTCCAAGTCTGGATTTCATTTGTTTCTGTTCTAATCATTATTATTTCCTCCTGTCTGCTGATTTTAGGCTTTCTTTTCTTTTTCTGGCTCCTTGAAGCATAAAGTTATGGTTTTTGTTTGAGATTCCTCTTTATTCTTAATGTTAATCTCGATAAACTTCCCTCTTAGAATTGCTTTTGTTGCATCCCTTAAGTTTTGGTATGTTGTATTTCTATTTTTATTTGTCTCGAGATATATGTGGATTTTCTTTTTATTTCTGCTTTGACACATTGGTTGTTCAGAAATGCATTACTTAATTTCTACATATTAGTAAATTTTCCAATTTTCCTATTACTGATTTCTAGTTTCATACCATTGTGGTTGAATCTTACTTTTTTAAGACTTGTTTTGTGGCCTAACATATGATGTACTTGGAAAATATCTGTGTACTTGAAAACAATGTGTGTTTTGCTATTTTTGCATGGAATGTTGCGTACATGTTAGGTCCATTTGGTCTATAATGTTGTCAAGTCCGCTATTTCATTACTGATTCTCTGTCTGGATCATTTGCTCATTGCTGAGAGTGGGATTTTAAAGTCTCTTATTATTAATTGCTGTGTATTTCTCCTTTCACTTCTCTTAATATCTGCTTTATATATTTAAGTATTCCAGTGTGTCCATATATGTTTATAATTGTTTTTCCTCTTGATGAATTCACCCTGTTATCATTATATAATAACTTTATACTTCTCTTGTGATGGTTTTTTTTTTTTTCACATTTTAAACTTTTTATTTGCATGTTAAAAAATTGTGCATTCCAATAATTAAAATCATACGAAGAAAAAAATGGCACTCTGATTAAACTGCATTGTACAGCCTGCCAGATACCTTGGACCAACTTAATGTTACTGGTCGTCCCACCCAGCTTCTTCCTTCACTAGCATACAAGTTATTTTCCTTCCCTGCCAGCCAGACAGGTGGATGGAAAGGAGGCTTGGGGTTCCTGGTCAGTAGTTCAGATTCTTTGATGGGAAAAGGGGCAGAAGAGTCATTTAAACTTGATCCAACCTCTTTGCATCTTACAAAGTTAAACAGCTAAAAGAAGTAAAATAAGAAGGCAATGCTTGTGGAATGTACAGTGCATATGGGCGGCGCGCGCCTCACTATGATTCGCCTGCTTGCTTCTCCTGTTCAATCGTTTCTTTTGAAGGTAGTGGATTTTTCTCTTGCGTTTCTGTCTTCTTCAATTTCGACTTATCGAATTTCTCAATCTCAGCCATATCGGGTTTGTCAGACATGGTTGCAGAGGAAGCGGAGCGAGGTGCGCGTGCAATTGAAGTCCGGTCTGCTAAGTGGCCCACGCCGAATCTCTTGTGATGGTTTTTGACTTAAAGTATTTTTTGTCTGATATAAAATATAACCACTTCTGGTTTCTTTTGATTACCATTTGCATAGAGTATTTTCTTCCATGCTTCACTTTCAGGGTATGTGTGTCCTTAAATCGAAAGTGAGTCTTTTGTAGGCAGTGTATGGTTGAATTTTTTTTTTTTTAAATCTACTCAACCATTCCTTGCTTTTGATTGTAAAATTTAATCTGTTTACATTTAAAATAATTAGTGATAGTTAAGAGTTTAGTGTTGCCATTTTGTTAATTGTTTTCTGACTATTCTGTAGTTCTTTTATTTTTTTTTTTCCTCTTTTGTTGTCTTCCCTTGTGATTTGATGATATTCTTTAGTGGTACAGATTCTTCTTTTTTATTGTTTGCGTATCTATACAGGTTTTTTTCCAGTCATTACCATGACACTTACATAAACATGTTATAGTTGTAATAGTCTACTTTAAACAGATAACTTCAACTTTATACAAAAACTACACTTTACCCTTACCACACAGATTTTATGCTATTGCTATCATAATTTACATATTTTATATATTTTGTAACTTTTAATAAATTATTATACCTAGAGATATTTTTAATACTTTTATATTTTAACTTTTATATTAGAACTAAAAGTGATTTTTTCACCACCATTGCAATATTAGAGTTTTGAGTATATTCTTACCTTCACAGTGAGTTTTATACTTTTCTATGTTTTGTGTTTTTGTTCAACTTGAAAAACTTCCTTAGCAATTCTTTTTTTTTTTTTTTTCCAGCTTCTTTAGCAATTCTTATAGTGCAGGTCTAGTGATGATGGACTCTTACAACTTCTGTTTAGGTAAGTCTTTACCCTTAATTTCTGAACTAAATTAAGAAATTACCAGGTATAGCATTGCCAGGTATAGTATTGGCATTTTTTCTTTCAGCATTTTGTAGTTATTGGTCCATTTCCGGACAGCTCTAGGCTGAGAAATATTACATTTTCTTCCCCACAATTGAGAAGCACATGAGTTATACTTGGAGGAGTTGGATTATAACATCAGACAAAACATTCAGTTAATCTCCATTCAAAGCAGTAAAATGCACTGTGGTTTGATGAAAGTAGCACCATTTTAAAATCAATAACTTCTGCTTCCTCTTCAGTAGCAGGATAACCCGGAAAAGGGGGCAGAAATAGCATCGGCTTCACAGATTTGTGAATTTAACAAGGGCTTAAAATTCCAATGCTAAAATATGCAGAGAATGGCTGCCTCATGAAAAGGTATGGCAGGGAACAATTTTTGGGTACCTACTTTACGCCAGCTACGTGAGAGAGCAAATACATTTCCTCATTTACTCCTACCCACTGTGTGCAGCAAGTAGGATGTTCACCTCCTCTGCCCAAAGAAAGAAGCAGAGGTGGAGAGGTCAGCCAATGCCTCCTTATTTAACAGATGACAAAAAAACAGGATCTAGATTTAAACAATTTGATGTAACAGAAAAGTATTACCATGACACTGAGGAGTATTTAAAGCCAATTTGAAAGATGGTTACTAAAATAGGCTTCATAAAGCCTCCCCGCTACCCATAAAGCAAGATGTATACACCCTAATCTCTGGAACCCATGAATGTATTATTTTACATAACAGAGGGGACTTTACATGTAGTTAAGAGGGCCAGCCTTAAAATAAGATTATCCTGGTTTATCTGACTTAACTCTAATTTCTTGATCCCTTAAATGCATAGAACTTTCTTCAGCTGGAGTCAGAGATTTGTAGCATGAGAGGGACTTAATGCACCCTGTTGGCTTAGTGACCTTGGGGACCCACAAGTAAGAACTGGAAAGAGGCATCTAGGAGATACGGGAAATCATGAGACTGAAATTTAGCAGCCTATAACCAAAGATTAATCATGGGCTGACAGCCAGCAAGGAAACGGAGACCTCTGTCCCACAACCACTAAGTACTGAATTCAGTTCTTTGTAAAGAAGAAAAGCAGTCCTGCCAGCACTGAGATTTTTACACAGTGAGACCAGTGACAGACTTTGAACCTCGAGAACTGTGAGATAATGAATTTGTGTTGTTTTAAACTACCGAGTTTAACAATTTGTTAGAGGAGTAACAGAAAACAAGTGCAGTTACTGTTGAGGTTTATTTTGGCAACCTGTCTGTCCCAGACTGTGTGGCTTAGACAACAAGCATTTCTTTCTCATAGTTCTGGAGGTTAGGAAGGCCAGTGTGAAGGTACCAGCTGATTCAGTATTTGATGAGAGCCCTCTTCCTGGTTCCAGACTTCTTCTTGCTGTGTTCTCACAGGATGTGAGAAAAGGAACAAGAGATCTCTCTGGGATCTCTGTTATAAGGGCACTAATCCCATTCATGAAGGTGCCACCCTCATGACCTAATTACTTCCCAAAGGCCTCACCTCTTAATACCATCACATCAGGGGTTAGGATTTAAACATATGAATTTGGAGAGGAGACACATTCAATCCATTGCACCATCATCTTTATTAAAGATTTTCAAAGTGGTATAGTTTATTTGCTTTGATTTCCTGTATCACCTGTTCATAACCCTGGAATTACCTCTCAAATATAAACCCCAAAAGTACAATTTATTAAGGTCAGAAGCAAACCAATATTTACATTTTCATTTTTGTTAGGACAGAGTGATTATACTGTATTTCTGACTTCACACAAGTAAAGAAATGACTGAAGTGGTTTTCACTGGACATTGTATGACCCTGTCTGACAAATTCCCTGAGATTCCTGTCCATTCAGTGCTTAACACAAAAGAGCTATGATGCTGTCGATTACTTAAGCAAATAAATACAGTGGGCTGAGGTTATACGGAAAAAATATTTTGTTGGATATTATACATAATACATTGTAACATCTCACCTTTAACCTTGAAAATAACCATAAGAGGTATGTATCATTATCAACGCTTAACAGTTGGACAACCTATAGCTACCACCAGCCCCATGACATGGCCAGGTTAACAGCTATGTTGCATCTAAATTCCAAAACCTGTGCCTTTTATGCTCTCTTGTCTACTACCAAACAATATCAAAAATTTTATATCTAGGATTGTATCAAATCCAAGCCTCATCTGAAATCAATTATTATTATTTTTTCAAGATTTTATTTATTTATTTGACAGAGAGAGACATAGTGAGAGAGGGAACACAAGCAGGGGGATTAGGAGAGGGAGGAGCAGGCTTCCCTGTGGAGCAGGGAGCCCGATGTGGGGCTCGATCCCAGGACCCTGGGATCACAACCTGAGCTGAAGGCAGACTGAGCCACCCAGGCGCCCCAACTTAATTATTTTTAACAGCAACCAAGGATTAAATACAGTCAAACTGTTGGGTTGGTTGAATTTTGTTCTCTAGGTATACTATTGCAAACAAATAATATCACTTCACTATAAGAACACAAAACACAGCCCTGATAAAGAACACAAAAACAATAAAAAGAAGAAGGAATTCAATAGGGTAATTTTCTTAATATAAAACGCAAGTAGGAGATTTAGTAATTAACCATTCTTGCATATTCTAGTTTTTGCAGATGTCAGTTATCTAATCACTACTTTATTAGCTGGCATAGATTGGATGCCTTCTAATGGCATCTGTACATTTTGTGCTTCACTGGCATTATAGGACTCATCACTATGGTCTGGATAAGAAAACTCTTTTGCTTTGTGTTTCAGTGATAGAAGAAAATTACATACTAAACGTTTAACAGAAGAACTCTCTTTGAGTTTAACATCAAAACTACAAGTGGTTAGTGAAGTGTGAGGCTGAAGCTCTTATTCACTGTATTCATGTTCATGCCAGAAGACGGGGGAAAAGAGCCAACATAACAAGCCTGCATGGATTTTCCAGTGATACGAATCAATTAAAATTCAGGAGGAGAGAAAACAAAGTCCAGAGCAATTTATTAATTTGTTTACAGCTGTTTGAATATGTAATATGAAAGAGTAGTTTGGGGAATAGCTGTAGATTGGGGGATATATTGATTTTGATGATAGTGCTCAAAGAAATAGACAAGTGGTTTTGATGTATAAACTGCTACAGTGTAACTTGTTTAGTCTATTGATTCATGTGCTTTGATGGAGTTGTATATGCCTGCTCTTCTGGGACTCACTGAAAAATGAGATGCCATTTCAATGTGTGGAATAAAGAGTATATTTAAATGTGAAAAGCTGCTGGTTCCTTCTGTTAGTTTACTGTATTTTATTGTTCCTTTGCCCAAAGTTTTTGCAGGAGTAACCACTATATTTGTTTTTTTGAAAGGGAGTGAAAACAGTGCATAAAAAATAATAAGAATTTGAATCTGCTCAATTAAAATGAAACAAACAATATTTCTAGACTTCGTAAAAAGGTAGGGATGTTTTGCAGATAATGATAAAATCTGAGATAAAGCAAAAAGCTTTGAGATTACAGAGCAAAAACGACTGAGGTATTATTCAGAGTAAATTCAATGTTAACATCTTTCTACTTCATTTTTGACAACATAAAAGAAGATGTAAGAAACCACTTCACAACGGGTGGAAAATATTTCTTTTCTTAGGTTGCAAAGATTAGAAATTACTTTTGATTTCACATTTTATAAGAGATGAGACAAGGTCTAAAAATAGGCATGAGGATATCTTTATAGATAATTTTTAAAGAATCAATTTAAATATACATAGATTATAAGTATGTTTTTAAATAAATATTTTTTACTTGGTGTTTCACAACTAAATCACAGAAATGGAAGTTCCATTATACATTACAATTTTCCAGAAGAGTTAACTGATGTTTTGAAGATTTATTAATTTTCCAGAAGAGTTAACTGGTGATTTGAAGATTTAATAATTGGTTAGGTCAAAAAGTCTTGGCAAATTCAAATACCCTGAGTGTTGGTTGACTTTAACTTACACCACTCTTATTTTCACTGCCATATAGTGAAAACTGCAATATGTGATCCATTCTG